CATGTTCAAATCCTAAGAGTGACCTCTCTATGTTTTCTTAACCTTCCCTAGAGGAACATTCTCTCTCCTTTCTATATGCAAACTTGCATCCCTGATGCTCTTCTCACCTTGTACCACACAAAGATTTCTCTTAAAAAAATAAAAAGAAAACAAAAAAACAAACCACCTTGTAACATCTGTACTGTCACACTGATTTCCTGGGCAATGATCTGATTCTCGTGTCTGAGTTAAAACGGTTGGCATTCAGCCTTTTTCTTCTTCCCTCAGAGGAACTAGGTTATTATTGCCTCATAAAGCAGTGCCTGGGTGGTATTACTAGCTAATTAATGTCTATTTAGTGTAAAGGGCTGCAGCCACCTTCCAGGCCCTACAGGCATTTTTTTCCTTCCTCTCCCTGACAGGACCAGATGGCATTCTGGCCAACCTTCGCCCAGCCTTCACGAGCCATGCACTCAATTCAGACAATGCATCTAGCAGCTTTGGAAACACATTACCGTCGCTGCTGGACAGATGCTAGAAGAGTGGTTGTTACTGGCCCAAACAATAGGAAAATTAATTACTTCAATTAAAAGATGTAGATTAAACCTCTACCAAGGTATAGTCACCTTTTCATTTTTGTATGCTGTTGTGGTTTTTATATTATTTAATTTTCCAGCTCTCATCACATAACAGGTTTAACTTGGAAGAGAAATACACGCCCAACAATGAATGGTTACGGCAGGCTATGAGGCAATGGTCATCCCCATCTCACTGCACCATTTGATCATAGGATAAATCAGGATGATGAACCCACTCATGTTCAAAGGAAGAGTTCAATTACATGTTTCAGTGGAGTCAGCCCACAATACTTAGCTTTTTTCAAGATCAAGAACCAGTAGTCCAAGTAATTGTCTTCCTGTGGTTTTTGTATGCACCATTCTCACTAATTTGATGTTCCTATTAAGCTATGAACTGCCCCAGCTCCTGGTTACTGCATCAAGATGCTGTTTCATGTCCTGCCCACTCCACACATTGGTCACACATCAATGAGCCATCAGAAAGGGAGCAAAACATGAAATACCATCAATCAAAATCCATCTGAAAATTAACTAACATTAAGTTCACTTAATTAAAAACAAAAGCATAAGTAATTTTCTCTCAGAAAGACCCCTGCCTGAAAACCATTACATTCTAATTACTCTTTACCCCAACAGCTTGTCATCAAAAGTAACGCCAAACATCATAATTATTTTTAGATCACATATTCTCTACTTTCATCGATTGAAGTAATTTAAGGGATCTCTCTATTTTCATACTTCTTCTTTTTAGCTATACTCCTCACTTCTCAGAAATAATTACTTCATCTTAAATATTTTTTTTTTATGTACATATATATATAGCAATGCGAGAGACACTCTAAGCAGTCTGCTGCCATGCTATGACCAGCTCTGGTCTAATCTGCTCCCAACATCTGAGGAGGGTCACTACCAACCTCTGTTTGGGAGAAAAACTACCATTGCGAAAACAGCCCCCATGGATCAACTGATGATACTTTCTCTCGCAGCAAGTCCCCTGTCGTCCCCCCCAGCCCTAGTGGCAGGCTATAGGATATTGCACTTTGAGCTGGAAGTGCTGCACAGTATTTTGGACTAGATGTAAAACACTGGGGACTGATGACTCTGGGTGATATTACTAGCTAATAGTAATAAAGACCCATGAGAACTCCATGTGCAGGAGGAATCATCCCTTTTATGTTCTGCCACATTCCTTTTGGGGAGTTTTCCTAAAATCCTTTCTGCAAGTTTTATGCAGAAAAATAATTTCTGAAGGGAGAAACCTCTGTAAAGAACCTGTGAGCTACTTCAGCTGCCAAAATATAATAGTGCTTTCTAAGATTTTCTTTAAAGTGCCAAGTTAGAAAGATTTTTTAGGTTGCAAAATCAAGCACCCAGAAGCTTGGAAATGCTAGAGCTCATGTCACCTGAGCATCATACTCCAACCCTGTTGCACTGAAGCATTTTGACAACCTTTAATCACATTGCCACCTGCTACTTTCTTCTACTGGACTCTTGCCTCAGTGTTTAAGTAGAGACCTGCTTGATATCTTTTTGTATTTTGTATATGCAGTGCACAGCTTCAAGATTTATTTATTCCACACTACCAAAACTGTGAACAGAATGCAAAGTGATTAATTTTCTCCTAAGCATCTCTGACAGACCTTCCCCATAGTATCCAAGTTTCTTGTGAGCATGAAATTAACCCTCACTGTGCTCCTCTAAGGTGAGCTTGCAATATTATCTGTATTCTGCAACTGGGCAAATGAGAGTCAGAAGGCAGGCAGGCAGGCACAAATTTTCCATTAATCATAGTAATACAACCTGAGGCACACAGAAAGCCTATTTCTCAGTTTACAGCCCTTCACTCTCTTTCAAAGTCTCCTTGTAATGGCCTCCCAGGAACCCATCCTACTTCACAGCAGACATGCGTAGAATGAGGAGCCCATTGTTACCGGCCATTTGTGAAAAGTTTGTTGTAAACCTGCATCATTCAGAAATTCTGTCAGGGAAATTAAGGGGAGAAGCCAGTCCTCCAGAGTAGCATTTAACTGCCTTACCTGTAAAAATATCTTGCTTTCTCCACTGCAATTCCCTGCCTCATTTACTATATACCTTCCAGCTTGGCAGCAAATGAGGCAGCGTCTAAACATACTTCAGAGCTTACCCACCAGTATAATGAATAACCTGTATCAGCCCGCAACTCCAGATTCTGGAGAGAAACAGCCACAGACCATTTCCCCCATGCCCCTAACCCGTCTCACTCATCTTTTACCTATCTGCACCCCACGTCCTCCTCCTTTTTGTTACTCCCATTCTGATTTCCCAGACGTCTGTATGTCCCCTGTGCTAATAATTGCCAACTCTCACCCCCTCACCCTGCTCCCCAAGTTCCTGCACACACTCTCTTTTGCTTCTACTCCTTTGGCTCTTGCAACCTCTTTTCCTTCTTCCTCCATACACCTTTTCCTGACCCATCTTCATTTGATGAGGACGGCTGCTTCCTTTTTCTCCTTGCTACTGGAGAGCAGCTGGAGAGCAACACAGGCCCCCTTCCCTCAGCCCGTTGGGAGGCGTGCAAGCAGGATTAAGCGTAGAAGGGCATAACTCCTCTGTGACCATATGCGGACAGAAACTTTTGAAAGCAAAGCTGTCGAATCTGAGTTATCTGCAAAGTGCACGAACAACCTCATCAGCAAGGCAAACTCAGGAGTACTTTTCTCAAGACAGCAAAAGGCATCTGCCCTGTATTATGGTGACACTTCATTAAATGTCAAGCCTCCAAAACTTCATTCCACTGAAGTTCATTCCACTACCAGTACTAAAATGTCTCAGGAAACAGCTACTGGATTTATTTATTTTAAATGAGGTAATTTAAAGCAGCACATTCCTCACATATCTTGTCTTCAGAAACAACGGACTTTTTTGTTAAAGTTTTTCTCTTACTTAAAAGACAGAGAATCAGTCAAAGACTGAGTCTTACCATGAAAAATCTCAGCCAAAACAATTAAAGTTTAGAGAAGCAATAAAGAAAACAATTCCTTCTAGCAGGCAGTGACAGGTACACTTTACTCTGGGCAGTGCTACTTGACTTTGGTTGTAATTAATAAATCTACCAAACATAATTGTTCCAGTTAAGCAAACATCTCCAGTCACACTCATGTAAACAAAATCATTCTTCATATCAATTAGAAGTTAGTCCACATGTTGTCACCATCCCTCCACAGTACTTAAAAATGTCTAAAAGCATCATTTTTTCCCCAGTTCTGCCAGCTCCAAATTTCAAGCCCTTCCATTCCAGTCTGTGGAAAACTGAACCTGCATTCACCATCCTTCACATTGCAAAGAGCATAAAAACAAGAACTGATCCAGAAGCCCTCAGGGTAATGTGAGAAAACCAGGTGAGTGTCTCCTGGCAGTGCTACCCACGTCACCCTTTCTTACCATGGCATCTCCTCCTCCTGCCAGCAGTTTCCAGTTTGCTGGAAAGTTTCCAATTTGTAGCCACAGGGCTAGACAGCCTCCAATCTATACTGCATCTGCCCTGGAGCTGTACTCAGCAGGCACCTTGCAGCCCCCTTCCACACACATCCAAGAGCGAAAGACAAACTGAAACAAGGACCACATAGTCACTATTTCTAATTTTTCTGTACTAAGTTTTAAAACCCATCCATAGGGATCCAGATACAGTAGAACTACAAACATAAAGCAGAAGTGATATACACAATTATACATTATGTACTTGGGTGGGGGGGAACAACCCCAAAACACTAGAATTTTTCAAAGCCAGCAACAAGGTTTAGACAGGTACTTCCCATCTAAACTTTGGTAGCGATTATGGATCTACTGCTGGTTTTGAAAAGCTAAAGTGAAAGAACCAAAAAGCTGAGAACCACTTCTAAGTGGGAAGAAGAAGAAGAGATGCTCTTACACAAATCTGAACGTGGTAAACAGGATTGCAATGGTAGAAATCTCCTACGTGGGGCAATTATCAGCAACAAAACCACTGTTTAGTCATCCTACACTGACAACCATATCTCTGGTTCAAGATTATATGAAAACAATTCCTTACATCTTTGAAAGTAATAGCAGAGGTTTCTGCTTTGTCACGTTGCTTCAGAGCTACCATAAGTGCGAGTGCTTCGGTCTTTCACATAACCAGTTGCCATGAAGGTTCCTTTAGCTGGAACTTCAGGCATCCAAAATACTGTATTTACTTTTGGAAACTTGGATCTAGGTTTATTAAGAGTGCAGGGTGCCCCAGAGAAAAAAAATAATAAAAGCAAGAACATATGATAATGGAGAAAGAGGAAGAAACAGAAGGGAGGAACAAAAGAGAAGAAGTAAAAGGATTTCTGTAATTTCAGCACATCAGCACAATTCATTAAGCTTAGAGGAGCCACTAGGAGTTGTCTGTGGTGATGGTGACAGTGCATCGTCAAGCAGAGAAATGCAGAGGGCTCTTACTGCAGCATATGTGTCTGGCTGGCGTCCTTTTGTTTGTCAGGTACCTCGTAGTGTGGGGAAATCTTGCCGAGGCCGCTGTCGCTCAGCATCCTCTTTCGAACTGCAGGGTTCCACCGATCTGATATTCTAGGGAGGGGAGAAGGAAGAGAAAGGCATTCACCCCTCAGAAATTTCCTCGTGTGCTCCACTTTGAAGCTGTCCTATACTTACTGGTTCCCAGCATTTTTCAGCACATAACAAGCTAAATTAGCTTATTTCACTATAAGTACCAGACTGTTCCTGAGAATGAATAGGAGCATTTCTCGTCTGCCCAGAGGATGAGAAGAAACGTAGACACTTCACCATCATTCTTAGGCACAAAAGACTTCAGGGCCTTATACAGTGGTATCAGAGCCCTGACCATGCAGAGAAGGGTTTGTAACTCCATCAATACAGACTTATGGCGGGGCAAATACAGTCAGGGGGTGTGAGGAGGTTAACAGGTGCTGAAGTCCATTAGCCCTGCTGTGTGTTCCAGGATGCCTAACAGAGCAGATGTCATTCCACTGTTCTTCTATCATTACTACGGCTGCATGTGATCCCCAGCTCCTCATCTAAGATCTGCCCTCCCACATCTTCCAATCCTTCAGAAAAGCGAACCAGAAAAGAGATGCCCAACTCTAATACGGCAGCTGAAAGCCAGATCCCAGCACCACTCACCCAGAGGCCTGCTCCACTACCAGATCAGGCATTCCTGGTGGCGTCCCCACCTGCTGTGACATTACCAGCTCTGGGTCCAGAATAAAAATCTCGTCCTGCGAAATTTCCGTCACAAAGTGCAAATGTTCCTGTTGGAGTGATACAAGGAACAAATAATGAACCTGCGGCATCACTGGTCTCTGAGAGCACCCAGCTGGCCATAGGAAACATTCATGAGACTCTGTCTGTGTATTTAAGTGCACACATGCACACACACTAAAACCAATGCCACTGAAGTCACCAACAAATACTTCATCAATTTCAAGCAAAACAAGATTTCCAACCTGCAAGCTTCACATTCACACAACACTTAAAAAGGCTGCTACTCAGTGACTACGCCATTCATCTGAAAAGTGGAAGTCTACCCCAAAAGCCAAGGCTTGCATTTCAAAATGTGGACCAACATCTATGGTCTGCCCTCCAATGATGGCTGGCAGAAGTTTTCATTGTTTGGGGGTACTCTCCCAGACATCCATTGCTTGTGCATTCTGGTTTCACATCTCCGCTACCAAAGCTCTTTCTCAGTCCTGCTTTTTTGTAATTGACACTGAAGGTTCATTGTCCGTCAAAAAAGGCAGAGTGTGAGTAGGCCTGTCTATGTAGGTGAACGAGCAGGAAACTTCCCATAGTTTATGCGCTGGGACCATCACACAGTATTGATCTTTTCCCCACAGAAACACAGGGCAAAGGAGTCGGAGGGAAAGATGACCGTTTGTATGAGTCAAGTATTAAAGAAATGCAGAATAAGCCAAACAGAGTCACATTACTCAGTTCAACCTGTAGCAGCATCTTCTTCACCCTTGCTTTGCAAATATTAAAGTATAACTTCATCAAAGCATTTATATGACCGTGCGCAAAGAAGTCCCATGGTGGCTACATGCAGATGCTGAACGTGGGACCTCTGAACTAAAGCCACAGCTCCTTCCGCTTTAACTAAACCACCAGCTGCTTTTGCTAGGAAACAGTCATATGTTCATGTGATTCAGAAACAGCTTACACAGTTCTCAGGGGGATCAGATACAAATCACCACCATGTGAAATCAACAGTTTGCACTTAATGTTGAGCCACTAATTGGCCTGTTCTGGCCACAAATCAGAAACACCAAAAGCTCTGTAAAATTTTCAAAGCGTCTTTTAGAAAATATATTCAGATTGTCAAATCTGTACCACAAGTTTGAATCCCGTGGAGCTACACGCTGGTTTGGGGTTCCTTGGGAATATTTGATACCAACTTCTAACATCACTTTAATTTCCATAGCTATTCCATGTCACACACACAGGATCAAGACTTCTGGTGACTAAAAGCATCGGTGAAAAGATAAACTCAAATACTCTGGTGCCACACAGATGCCCTTAGACTTGATAAGGATGACAAATGTAGAAAATTCTGATCTGTACATCAGATTGGTAGTAAACAGAAGGGCAGATAGTCAGCAGATATAAAACTTCAGTGAAACAATGTGAATTGCATCAACTAAAAAACAGCCCAGAGTTTTTTGTCTACTTTTCATGAAACATCAGTAGCATTTTAGAATACACATGAGAAATGGCAGATAATTCATTTTAACCTGCATCTGACATAGCTTTAAAAAAAAACCCAAAACAACAACAAAACCACCACACCACCCCACCCCCCACAAAAAAAACCCCAAAACCTATAGAAATGGTAACCAAATAAAGATTTACCTGAGATCTGTCAATGCGGTAAAAACGATCAGCAGAAGTTGCTGCAGGACAGAGAAAAAACAGAGCCGCAGTGAAGAAAACGGTCTGAGCAGAACTGCATGGACAAGATGGGCTGAGCTAACATCACTACCATGTAAGACAACCTCTGTGTCAGTGAAGTCACAGTGGTTTCACAAGAACATAATCCGATTCATTCATTATGTCCATATTGCTATCCCATTATATGGTGAATGTAAAGGTGAGGCTTAACAAAACAATATTCACTGAAATTATTAACTTGAAATAAATATTATAAAAAGTATAAAATGGTTTTCAGGCTCATAAAAAGAATTGATTACATTAAAATATGTGACAGGAAAAGCTGCATTGTTCTGATGAGAGTATAGCAAGCATATAATGAAATTGATAGGTCTAATAGGATTAATTCACATTTTGAATCTAAAGAACAATAACATGCTTGGGAGCTCTTTGTAAATCAAATGCATGGCCACAGATATTCACCCTGAATTACCAATACACTCAAGGAAAATTTATGCTACTCATGAAAAACATATGAAAATAGGGGGATTGACTAAATAAAGCACCTAATATGAATCTTGTCACTGCCAAATAATTTATATTACTAAACCCAGAAGTATTTTATCACCTACAATGTGCTTCATCAGCTGTGATTTTTTTGTTTCGGCTTTGCATTTAGTTTGGCCAGGGAAATCAGATTTGTTCATTCTGGATTTTTGACACAAGAGCAGAGTGATGTAGCATTGTAGGTTTTGGCACTGCAAGGGAATATCAAATCCCTAAAGACAAAAACTGACTGCATCTACCCACCCAGCTTTCTCCAAAAAGCAAACAGATTCTCAATATGTTTTTTAATCAATTTCCCTCATGAGAGACAAGGAAGAGTGATTAGAAATTGCCAAGGAGAAATTGTTTTTGTTTAGAACAATATAAATTTCAGTCTCTCCATGGTGAAGCTTTTGTAAAAGCAGATGCCATCCATTTTAGCTGCTAATTCCAGTGCTCTGGAGTCTGATGTAAAGCCCAGATAAGCCACCTGCTTTGACAAAGCCTGGGTCAAATACGAGTGCAGCTCTCCAGGGAGTTACGTGAAGTGCAGTCTTACAGGGAAAGGGAGGTACACTCCCATCACCTAAACACTATACTACCTAAACACTATAGTACTTAAAGAGAAACCAGAGTGAAGAACACAGTTTACCAAGAGCAGAGCATTGCCACCACCAGCTGCACTCTGTGTCCAGGCAATGCCATGCAGCAAATGCTACTCATCACAGCATAGACAAAACAAAACTCTAACCACCCTTAACATGTCCCCTTGGGGTGACAAATCTACATCAGACATTTTGATTGCTAGATGAAGGGCCTGTTTCATTTTTCAGGGGGAAAGGGGGGCACGCAGCTCCTTTTTTACCTGCTCAGTGTAATTAGAAGGAACAGTTGCCCCTCCATAGTAATACTCTCAGATGCACTATCCCTCACATGCACACCAGAAGCAAGCAGCATGCTAGGCACAAGAGAAGGGAGATGCACTTACCATCTAGGAAGCACCATCTAGGAGAGAGCTTCTGAACAGAAAGTACTCTGGGGAAAGAGCTTTCCTGGTCCTGGATAGGGCAGGGAAATGACATTAAAAAAATAACAAACTTTTTTCTCTAAAAAGGAGTATTTTCGAGTCTCTGTTTTTTTCATTTTGCTCTACTGACATTGCACAATGTGCAAAACCTGCGTAACTCTCTTCACTGTGAGGGAGGTGAGGCACTGGAACAGGTTGCCCAGAGAAGTTGTGGATGCCCCATCCCTGGAAGTGTTGAAGGCCAGGTTGGATGGGGCTTTGGTCTAGAGGAGGGTGTCCCTGCCCATGGAACTGGATGATCTTTAAGGTCCCTTCCAACCCAAACCATTCCATGATTCTATACCCCAAACCCACTGGATTAGCTTCTCACTGACAATGTTTGACTGAAATATAGAAAAGAGTAAACTGATATGGTTAGCTTCAGCTACATCCTCAGCTATCCCCTTCCCTTCAGCTCAGCAATACTAAAAAGCTTTGCATCAAAACCAGCTTTCTCAGCTATCTACAGCCCCTCTTATTTGTGGGGACATAGAAACAGAGAGAGGTGAAAGAGGTCAAAGATACACATCAGTATCAAACAACAGCCATGAACTCTATGTTTGTTTCTTGTGTGCCTGTCACCTTCCTTTATTCTAGCTCAGTATTTTTACACTCGTTCCCTTATCTACCAATCTGCCACTCAAAACAATCGCCCACTTTGCCTGTCTCTGGTGTGTGCCAAATGCACGAGGGTAAAAAAAGTGTTATCCTCTGCACCCAGAAAATGGAGTGCAGACCTGGAGAATGCCACCAGCCAAGCAAATGGACCTCCTACATCAACATGTTCCTATTCTGGCTAAAAAAGCCTGCTCCTTGAGAGTCGACAGACGTTACTTCAGGAACCAAATCAAATGACTGGGGAGGAATGAAGACCTTCTTCCTGAACCTGTACTCTACCAAGGAACTGAACAGGCTGCCCCTCACTTTTTCAGCTCTCACTGAGCTGGAGAGGCAAAAGGGATCTCAGAAAGCAGAGGGTGGTCATGGCTGTGCTCCGTGCTGCCAGTGGGTGGCTATCCAACTTCCTAAAGCCACTGGGACACAATGTTTAAACACAATAGATTTGCACAGGACAAAATGCAACAGCATGGATCTCGGGCACACACCCAAAGTTTGTAGATAGCCAGATTCTATCCTTATTTACATCTTAAGCAGTAAAATCAGCGCATCTGCAAATGATGTAAATTCAGGCACATGCTAGTTCAAGATTAAACTTTATTCATCCTTCACAACAGAGTGGTATACCAAATCACAAGGCAAGAAAAGAAAAAGTAGAAGCAATGGGGAGGAAAGGTACTTTTGAGAAAAGTATTGCTCTGCACAGAAAGCACAGAATGTGAATAATGTGTATGTACATATATTCATAACATGGGCATAGATTGGTGAAAGCAGACCAGGATACAATGATACCTCATTGGGACTTCTCAGAATATCACACAGGAGCCCAGCACCTTTCCTGACAGCAGGACACAGGACCAATGACTGTTGTATTGGGAATTGTGCAGCTATATCAGGTCAGTAGTTGTTTGAAGGTCCAACACCAGAAAGTAAAGGCTGGCATAACATTCCAAAAAGAAATTTCAGCAATCATGGGTTTTCAGCCAGAAGGGACAACAGAGCTATGAACGCTTGACCCCTAGCATAACACAGAAATCCACCACTCCAGCCTGAGCTACAGAAGACCTTTTAGAAAGGCACCCAGCCTAAGTGAGAGACTCCAGCTGGCACCATGTGCATGGTTTGAAGGAGGAAAGTGAGGCTGCTTTGTATACAAGAGAAAAAGTGCAGAACACCAACACAAAATGAAAGTTTACGGTGTATCAGACATGTCCAACACATCTGGAACATTCATACAGAGTCTCAAAGGTTCATAGTTTCCTATTTATTTTCCTCTGTTTATACTGCCTAGCGTTTATATCATTAAGAAAACCTGGAAGTAATGTATATTTCTTAGCAATTTATATTACTGTTTTGCAAATCTGACATATTTCTAAAATACTTACCCGAGTAGACATGTGTGAGAAAAAGTTATGAAAAAAATAAAGAATATATTGACAGAAAAATGGGAGTTTCATCAGTTCAGTTCCCCAGACTGCCCAGACATGTGTCAGTAAGACCATAACGAAGAAGCAGTTTGCTTTCTTCAACTGGGGAAAATCTCAGAATGCTGAAGGAAGTTGTCATTTCAGTCTAACAGGGTAAAACAATTTCCAAACTGGTTACAGAGCAAATAATGCCCTCATACGTTAAGATGCAGACATTGCCCTTCAATTTACACAAAGCTATCTGACACTTTTTTAGCCACCTGAGAAAAAATGAGGTCATGCTGATGTTGTTCAGATACCCACAAGTTCTTAGCTTCCCCAGCTTCCTGGTCAGCAGGGCACCTGCATGCACTATGGGTTGTTTTCAAGCAGTTCTGATGATGATTAGCATTTTGATGGACACTCATTTCTCAGCCAGGTGAGTGCATATCAGTGCCTGGCATGATGCTCCTACAATATGTTATTAATTTCATTTGGTATCATGACAGCTTTTGCAAGACTCATCAGCCTCTGCCTCTGGGATTGACTGGAACCATCTATTGTTGCCTTTCCTTTCTGGTTATGTGGGACAGAAAAGCAAAGACAGCTCCAGAAAACTCATCTGCTGTCTCCTCAGTGCCCTAGAGTTTGGCTATAGTTCTGGCAACAGATCTTGTCTGAAATGTTACTTTGGCAACTTACAGACTTTGATTGACTAAAATGTATATATACACACATATATGTCTTCTGATGCATGATACCTACAGCTACCCTGACAAAAATAAAGCAGCCTCAATTCTCTCATGTTTAGATTTTACTTGATCCCATAAACCTTGCTCTCATGTACAGATTTTTGTCTCCAACCTCTGTACATTGCGGGAGAGATGAAGACAACGACAGCATAACATTCCATAAAGTGAACTATTTCTGCACATGGGGACCAAATTACATATCTCTATGGTTTAAGCATCAGATTTAAAATACACCTATGTCTTTCTCTGATATGGACTTATGGACTTGTGGGATGCTTAGGTTTGCTTGTATCGTAACTGAGGTGTATGTGGGAGAGTCAAGGTTTTTCCGAAATCCACTAGGTTTGCTAATGTCTAGGTATCTACATGCACAAAGCTTTGTGTATCGTAATATTTAGCCTACTCTTTATGGAAAGGTGAGGACTGGGATACAAAGGACAAAAGGAAGGAAACATCCAAAGGTAACAGTGAGTACTAAAAACGTAGATAATACAAAGAGGAGAAATAAGTAAAAATTCACAGATCTAGCAGAGTACATAATGCTGGGAAAATGAAGATAGGGATAACGCTGGTAAATGTAAATTCAAGTCACAAATTGCATATTGTGATATGGTCCTTCCAAGACTTCATTATAGTTCAATGGCAGAACTACCTTGGGAAGTCTCAAGCCCATGAGAATGACATTTTATGAGCATTAAACTCATTAGAGAAACGAAACAGGAATGAAAAAGAACTTTAGCATAATTTTTCTCATTTGCACCTGGGCTTGCTGATGTTTCTGCTGACTCCCCATGTTTTGAGCTGCAGAGGAATCATGCAAGGAACTGCATTAATGAGACCTAAAAGTACCCGTAACACCTTATTAGTGAGGTAAAAAGACAGTTCCATCAACTCAAGTACCTTATCCATGTCCTTTAACCACTGCTTTTCCCCCTTTCTGTAATACATAGAGGGATACCAACAAACATGGAACAAACCTCAAATTAACCTAACAGGAAAGTTTGTAGAAATGACCCACTGAGAATAAACCAATGTTTGAAGAATCCAGGATAAACAAGTATTGAAGACAAAACACAGAGGGGGACGCATTCAAAATGTAGCATCATAAAAAATTGATAGTATGTTAGGGATTTCACACTGATGTGCACTAAAGAAGATGGCTAGGCAATTAATTTATATACTGCTATAACTGCAGAGGTTAGAGCCAAGTATGGGGCCGATTTCCAACAATTCATACTCTCTTTTGGTCCTCCTCATACACACAGATTCAGTTCTTCATTTCACCTCAGGCAGTTTCCTATGCGTGGAGCAGTCAGCAGCCACTTAGGTTAACTTATAATGAATGGAACAGAATAATACATGCTGTTTTATTAGCCAATTCGCTAGACACTAACATTGCTCTAAAACTGAGTTCCAGGGCAATGATTGATACAAATGTCAAAAATATGAGGTTAAAATTGGACAGGGAAATACAGAAACAAAGGCAGCTCCAGGAAAACATGCCAAATGTCATTTTCTCATAGCGTCTCCCTGCATTCAGCGCGCTTACAGGCATTCTTGCCAAACTGGAATTCTGTCTCACCCAGGTAATCATTAAGCCCCAAGAAATATCTGCAATTTCACCGCAGTGGGTTTCCATCAGCTGCATCTCTGTACGCTTTCTCAGTGAACCCGTTCCTGCT